CAGGGGGGGGGGGGGGGGCATGCACACGAACATGCAGTTGCACACCCTGAGCTGTTCTCAACAGGGCAGGAAAAAAAAAAAAAAAAAAAATCAGGACCAGCAGCAACTTGCTTGCCTGCTTTCACGGCACGTTCGCTGGCCACAGCCCATCCATTGGAGATCAGGAGTCCACTTGCAGTGCCCAGCAAAACAGCTGGGCCCAGCGCTGCCACCAGGCCTGCAAGACCACGAGCGGGAAGAAAACGCGGGTGCAATGTTAGGGTGGCACAAACAAGGGTAGGGTGGGATATGTATGGTTGATCGGAGTTTCAGACAGCTTCCGCCAACCCACTCACTACTGGCCCACCTGCACCGGCATAGAAGAAGCTGTGGGTGGCCAGCTGCAGGCCCTGCCCCGCCGCTTGCATCGTCAGCAGCTTGCCCAATGCGCTGTTCAGGTGCAGCAGCACCTGCAGTGGAAAATCGAACACAAACTTAACGACGCCCCAGTGACTAAGGCGCCTTGGCTGGCAGGAGAACCAACCTTGGTCTCCCATACGAGTGCGAAGCAGTCTGCACTGGGCACGAATTGTGAGTACCACCAAAGCAGGATGGAACGCAAGATTTGGCAAACGGGCAACCTCACCAGGCAGGCACAGGTCGAAGCAGCCTGCACGGGGCAGCGGCACGCACCCGCATCGCTAGAGGTGATGCAGCTTTGCCAACAGCTCTCAAAGTCGCTCCGCTGCGTGATCCACCCTGCAACATAGAGGTTGACCGCCAGCTTCACGTCGCCGCTTTGCCTGCAGCCACGATGGCACGAAAGCACGCAGGAGGCTTGGCTCAGATGGGCAGGCCCAGGGATCCTGCAAACTGAGTGCATGCTCCCAATACAGCAGCACCCACTCATCACCACCACACACCCATGCACACACGCACTTTGCTCGCATGGGCACCGGCAGCAGCAACTCTTCCTCTTTCTTGCCACCCCCGAACCAGCGGTGCCACGCCGACTGCTGCTCAGCCTGCGGCTCCTGCGGCTGTGCCACTAGCTGCTGCTGTGGCTGCAGCTGAAGGGTCTTGCTGCTCCCAGAGCCTCGCAGCGATCCACTGCTGCTGGCCCGACGCAGCGCTTGCTCCCTAGCCGACTGGTAGCTGCTGCTGGCCAACCCCAGGTGGCCACGGTCGCCACCCGGGCCAACTGCATCTGGCATTGACCCCATTGCTACCTGTTGGTCACGCAGGCTCTGCAAGGGCTGCAGCTCCTGCTCCTTTGGTGGCTGGTATAACTGCTGCTGCAAAGGAAGCAACTCTCGGAATCCAAACTCGTTGATTGTTGCAGTGCGGTCTGCGGCCATGAGGTGGTGTTAGGTCATCCATAAAGGAGGTCATCCATAAAGCTCAATCAGTCAAAAAGCAGGCAGGTGCCGATTGGGCAATTGCAAAGATGCAAGAAGAGCAGCCAACAGAGCAAACATCAAGTGTGCAGCAGCACCATGTGCCGGGTGCTGCAGCAGACCCACTCACAAGCCATGCGTGTGCCAGTAGAGGCGGCGCCAGAGGCGGCCATAGTGGTGGTGACGGCTCCAAGCCCTTCAAAGGAGGAACCAGATGTAGCAAATTTGGAAGGGGGGAAGCCAACTGAGCTACACATGTATTGGGAATCAACGGACGCTCAGTGGGCACGCACCAGCCGTGCTGGCCAAGAAGCCAGTGACGGTGCCGGCGATGGCAGTGGGGGCTCCGATGAATCCCAAGATTGATCCCACACCGGCAGCAATGGCAGGGGCTGCCAAGCCGCCAGTCACTGCAAACAGCGCGCCCCCCCCCACGGCCGCTGCGCCCACCTGTACGCAGGGGACACCATGCATCATGCATGACTGCACAAGCCTGCCGAATATCTTTTGGGCACAAAGGGGAGTCGCCCCTGTGTGCGTGCTCAGTGCCCTATCTCCTTCCCTCACACTTGGCGCACCCTCCCAAAACGTATCCAGTCCCCCAACCTTGAAGTAGCGCATTCTTCGCTCCCAAGCATCCTCTTCAAGGCTGGACAGCGATTTGTGGCGGGGCGCGCGGTCACCATGCGTGAGTAGCACCTCCAGGTTGGACACCTTGCGTGGTGGCACCTGCAACATGGCAGAGGGGCCAGAGAGTTGGGCAGAACAATAACCCTGCAAGCATTGAACGTTGCCCTCCTGAGCTGGGGCTTGGAAAAACAGGACGACGCAGCATCTGCTGGACCGCACCTGCAGCCAGCTGGCCACTGTCAGCAGGGCCACCCGTGCCCGAGCATCATACCACCGCACTGCCACTGGCCGGGGCAGCTTCGGGATCGTGGGGTCTGGCGGCATAGGTGCGGCGCCCACGCAGCACTGCACCAGTTCCCACACGGCCCCCATGGCCTTGGGTGAACCACCTGCAGCTCCGGGGTTCCGCTGTGTAGCGGCCTGCTGTTGATGTTTTGGGGGCATCACCGACGTTACCGGCTCGTTATCTGGCTCTGCCGCTGCCATTCTAATATTTCTGCTGCTGAGGGGGTGGTCCATCTCTGCCTGCCGCTCCCCATTCTGCTGCTGCTGCTGCTGGTCCTCCTCATCAGTGCTGACCTCCGAGTGCAGGCTCAGCCCGCCGCTAAGGCGTTTGCTGATGCGCAGCACGGCGTCCTCTGCCTCGCCTGACAGCATGCGGTGCAGCGGTGGCTGCTGCGACCGCTTGCGCTCCGCGCTGGCCTGCAGCTTCTTCTCTCGCGCCAAGTCGGCTGCCCAGTCCTCGTCGTCGCGCCCCTCGTCCTCGCTGTCACTATCGATCAGCCCATGAAAGAGATGGTCTGGCACAGCGCGGCGCTGTGGGCTGGCCGGCGAATCGTCGCCACCAGGGCGGGCAAGGCGGGAAGCGCTGCGGTGCAGCACCAGGGGCGGCAGCGATGCCGCCAGGTCGGCGTCCAGCATGTCTATGAGCCCCCGCACCATCTGTTTGAAATAGTCATCGCCAGCGGAGGGCGCCGCAGTGGGCAGCAGCTTGAGCCCTTTCCACTTGGTGGGCGCCACCTGCAATGGTGGCAGCTCACAGTCGGCCGCAGCAGGTGTGCAGTCGTCGAACTGCACAGGAAGTTGTACCTGCAACTCTCGGTATATGCGGTCCGCCAGTCCTCCCGAGACTGACAAATCATACCCCCACCACGCCTCGAGCTCAGCCTCAGTCACGTTAGCAATGGCGCGAGGATCGCGTTCCACAGCGGGCGGCTCCCTGCAGGCAGCTTTGTAATGCTGGTCGGCGGGCGGCCATGACAGCAAGCGTGCGGTGCACTCACCCCCATGTCTCTTCGCCGAGGTTGCAATCATACTGTGATGCGTGGAGGGCCAACGTGAAGAGCGAGGCCACCGCATAACGCTCCTCGTCGTTCAGCTCCATGCTTGCACGGGTGCCGCCAACCGCCGCTGCGGCGGTGAAACGCCGCTGCAGCCCCGCCAACGGTGAACGCCGCTGCGGCCTGCCGACGACTGCCGACTATCCTTGACAGTGCTCGCTCCCTGTGGGGGCGCCGGTGCAGGTTACTAGCGCCGTGTTCACCGTCTGCAATAGACCGGGTGCTGTCAGATGTTCTGCCTGCGATGATCCGTCGCCCTGGCTGGCGCAGGCAAGGCGAATGCACCTCTGCCATAAAAAGAGCCGTACCGCGCCGAGACAGCTCGCACGGTCGACCGCGGTCACGCTCCGCCCTCTCCTGATTACAAGGAGTCCTGACTACTCAGTCAATTTCAATGGCCCCAGCCGCGGGAATGTCGTGCGCCCCCTCTTCATAGATAGCAGCTGGTTGCCTCTTGCGTAGTGAGCTTGCCGAGGTGCTGGGCACTGTCGGATGCGGTGCTGCGTGCGATGCCACATTCTTGTGCTGCTCCGCTGCTGCTCCCGCCGGGCCCGCCTGCTCCTCTGCAACCACACCCGCTGCTGCTGCTGCTGGCACCAGCTCCTGCTGCGCCTCGGCATCTGCGCGCTCCAGCAGTACCTGCACATCCTCATCTGCCTGGGCGCCCTGACGGCGATAGAAGAGCACATAAGCCGCGCTGGTCTTCACCCCGCTTTCCTCCATGCGCCCCACGTGCCCGTCATCAAATGTGTGCCAACCGCCGCTTGCCCCCGGCATGCGGCAGTAGGCAGTGTAGTGGCCGCCACCCATACCTGCAGCGGGGAAGGGAAGCAGTGGGACGAGGTCATGAGCGTGCAGGCACAAGGGCAGCGAGGTGCCGCAGGAGCGGTCGCTGCATGTGCCAGGGAGAAGGCAGCTACCCATCGATGGGCAGGCCTAGACAAGGAGCTCTCCCCACCATTTGCCACTCAATCCCGCGACGCACCTCCATAGTGGTTGGAGACGGCATAGAGGTCGTAGCGAGTACTGCGGGCTGGATCGCTCTGAGCGCCGGAGGCAGACAGGACAGCCAGGCAGACGGGTCAGGTTGCAGCTGACGGCGTTGCGATGCAATCATGACAACAGCTGGCGTAGGATACCCCTCAGCAGCGTGCCATGCCTACCTGCTGCTGCTGCTGTGCTGGATGCGCATGCTGCTGCCTGCTCCGCAGGTAGGGCGTCATGTCCAGATCTCTCAGCGGGAAGTCCACCAGCGTGTCCAGCTTGTCGCGCGAGTATCTGCAAGAGGGACAGCAGCAAGGACAGGTCGGTGATAGAGGGGAAGAGTGCAATGATGGAGCGTTGAGCCTCTTGGAGGCAGCCCGACCTCTCGAGTGCCGCAGCCAGGTGCCCCTGGCCAGCCCCGTCCCCTCACCGCGAATAAGAAAAACGCTTGAGATGGACTACCAGAACGTCCGGCAGGCTCCACAGGTCCAGCTTCTTGTCCGCCTGCACGTGCTGCTTGCACTTGCCGCAGTACCACCTGTCCTCGGCATCCAGCTGCTCCGGCTGCAGGAATGTCTGCAGACAGGAGGGGCAGCTCAAGGGGCGTGCCTTGGCAGTTGCGTAGGGCAAAAGGCGACCAGAATGGGGCTGCAAAAAAGAGTGGGCATTGATGTGAAAAAATGCCAGCAAAGCTGGCTGACCATGCTGTTGCAGTGCCCAATCCTCCTCCCCTCATTCCACCCAAAACAAAACACACAAAATGAAATCAGCACCTCCAGGCACTCTGCCAGCGTGACGCTCTTGCCGCCATCGCGCTGCTTTTCCGCCAGCGCCAGGGCTGATGCGTCCTTCTCCGCATCCAGCAAGGGATGCGGGTCATACAGCTGCCCCGCTGCGTCCTGCCACTCTGCAGGCAGGGGACGGCAAGCAGAATGAAATGATCGGCTGGGCTGCTGCTGCTGCTTTGGTGCGCAGCCCTGCCTGCCGCTCCTGCACGGGGTTGATGCCGCAGAGCCTGCATTCCACTGGTTCCAGAAGTGTAGTGGAACTGATCCCCACCTGCCACCAGCAGCAACGGCTGGCCATCCTCTGGCACCTCGAGAATAACACTGTAAGTCGTCAGCGCCATGTTGTAGCCGGCGCGCTTGGCTGCTTTGAGCAGGAAAGGTGGGCTAGTGGCAGCTGCTGCTGCTGCCGCTGCCGCTGCCTTGGCCGCGTCTTCCTTCTGTGCAGCAGAAAGCAGAAGGAGAAAGGGAGAGCAGAACTATTTTGAGTTGTTGTTATTGTTGTAAAAAGATGAACGACACCAAGCCATCTTGGTATGGCAGGCAGCGAGACCCGAGATGCTCCCTCACCTGGGCAGACCACAAGTCAAAAATCTCCTCGCTGTCTCCGCTCTGTGCCATTGCTGCCGCGGACACCATGGGAACGTCTGCGGCAAATAGTCCTGATGCTTGGGCATTTGTGCCATTGACCGGCATGCTATCCAGCCAGGCCTCATCGCCACCCGATTTGGCGATTGCTTCAGCATCAACCGAGCCGTTGGGTGGGCCGCGGCCAGGGCCACCCTGCTCTAGCTCCATCGCCTCATGGTCTGCTGCCGATGCCGAGATCATCATTGTTTCTGCAGCTGCCTCCGGCCCTGCCGCCACTGACACTGCGCTAATCGGAGCTTCATCCATAGGCGCAGGGCCCTCTGCCTGCTGCTGCTGCTCAATACTATCGCTGCCAAACACAGCATCTTCTTGTGCAGCAGGTGCTGGCGCCTGGGGCCTGCGGAAGGGCCTGCAACAGGGAGAACGGAGTGAGTGCGACGGGATAAGCGCACAATCCTTTCATAGAAAATGCACCATGCCACTCTATCGATTACATGCATTCCATGCTGGGCCACCTCAGCAGCTGCTCCAAGGCAGCATCGATGGTGTCGCGACCTCCCCCTGGGGCCACCACATGTGATGGATAGTCCAGACTCTGCATCTCGGTTCTCAACGCTGCAAGGTGATTGTCGGGAAGAAAGAGTGGCGTGGCGGGAATGGGCCACTCAGGCCGGCTGCTACGGGCCCTGCGTTGGGGGTGGGGTGGGTGGGTGGGAGTTCGTGCGCGCTTGGTGGCGCGCGGGATGGAGAGGGAACACGACATAGGACAGTAAATTGCTAGACCAAAACCCAGTAGTGTGCCAGCCAACTGCTTCTTGTTGTGCCGCCTTGGCTGCAACACGGCACTTCACGTCCCCTGCCCACCTGTGGAAGATGTGCACGGGGTGCTTGCCACTCCGTGGCCCGGACTCGGAGGAAGGGTAAACGTATGCAATGTACAGGTGGCTAGTACTGCGCGAGTGGAAGAAGGAGCGGGAGCGCAGGTCCTCGATGGATGACACACGTGCCTGCAACAGGTGCACGGGGTGAGCAATGCGATGGGTGGAATGGGGGGTAGGGCACGCATGCATCAAAATGTGCCGGGGAATCAATTCCAGACCCCCAGGCAGGACCAATGGATCCAGCAGAGGCAGACATGGGACCGGTGGATCCAGCACAGGCAGACGTGTGCGGTTCATAAACATCGTTCATATTCAATGATTATTATGTGCCCCACCTTGGAGTCTGCATACACGGCGAAGCTGGCATCACTCATGTTGAACTGAGTCAGAAGCAGTACATCCTCAGGAGCCTCTGTGGCTAGGCCCAACAGCTCTGCAATCCCCGCATACAGCTGGCTGTGGGCAGGGCAGGGTACGAATGCAAGTATGGGTAAGAATCGGGAGAATGTGCAGTAAACGATGCACACGGCATGCGCGGCACGGTGGCCAGCCTGCAAGTCGTAGGGCAGGCCATGCGACCAAAGACTGTCCACCAATGCCGCATGTCTTGCATCACAGTGTGCCAGTTGCAGGGCTAGCAGTGTCGTGCCACATCAGATGAATGCCTGGCTCACCCTACTGTGGCACTCTTGGGCACCTCGATGCCGTAAGTACGCGGCGCAACAGTCCCATCCACGAACACCGCTGAAAGGCAGGCACGCACGCAGGCGAGAGCATTCTGATGTCAGCAGGATGGGTGAAGGCGGGCAGGGCCTGCCACAGAGGGGAAACTGGGACTGTATTCTGTTGATTCCATCCCCAGCGAGCTGTTTGTCGGCCTCAGACAGTCTCCCATCACGCAGCGCATAAACACCTGTAAAGGTGACACCACGCATCTTGGAGGAGGGCAGCGGCAGCGACAGGTACCTGAACATAGGGTGGGAAGGGACCATGTCTGCTGCCCCTAATGGGTGGGACCAACACTGCTGGCGGCATAGCTCTCACATTAGCGGATCGAACTTGACCGACTGGTACTCGCACTGTGGGCAGGTCAACACAGAGCGGTAGAGCCCCTGGAAGGCATCCACGATCACGCTGTCGTTGCGACGTCGATAGTTGGCCCATGCCTCTGCTGCCACCTCCTCGTCAGGCCGGCCGTCTGAGTCCTTGTCTTCGATGTAAGGCTTGTCAGTGATGCGGTTCAGGTCCTGCAATGTGTGATGTGTGACATGGGGTGTGCATGGGGGATTGGGGTGGGGGCAAGTCAAGAGATGGTGCGATGTAGCAGGCATGAAAGATATCGAAGAAGCAGTCATACCATCAAGCCTGAAAGCGCCCGACTACCAATGGTTACGGATAAGCCATCACAAAAACAAAGCTGCCCCCGCACCTCGTGCAGACCATCCAGAAGGAAGGCCAGCAGCTCCTGGCTATCCTCCTGCGCGTAGCCGCTGAACTGGGGGCAAAACTTGGCCAGCTGCCACTTGAAGAGCTTGGGGGAGACGTGGCCCACACCACCCCGCCACAGCTTGTCCATCAGTGCACCGAATGCCAGCGCCAGCTTGCCACCCAGCGACAGCTGCAGAGACAGCCGCACAGAGAATGAGGCGTGCAGGGGGGTCACAAGGAAGAGATAAATGCAGGCAGTCGGCGGCAAGCAGCAGTAGCACATAAGGTGGACGGCAGACGATTGGATGCAACATACAGCTCTTCCCCTCGACTCACCGGGTTGTCTTTGTTGAGGTCGCGCTTGTAGGCGCCGGTGAGGAAGGTCTGCATGAGTGGCAGGCTGTGTGCCAGACATTGGAGCGAGGAGTTCATGAAGCAGGTGTTACCCAGGTTACCCAGCCCCGCCAGACCGCGGGCGCGACCCGGGGCCTGCATCGGAAAAATAGCATATTGAACAAACAGGAATGGAGGAACTTTAGACACCAATGCAAGAGATCGCCATTTCAGCTTCCCTGGCATGCACGCGAGGGGTGGCCGCTGAGCTCCCTGGCGCATGAGCTGGCACCAGAGCAACAACAGAGGCTCACATCATACACAACATCGTCAGCCCAGGGAGGGGCCTGCACAGCGCAACAAGGCACACCATGGCGCACAAGATCAGCCACTGTTGGATGTGGCAGAAGCTGAGGCTGGGCAGCAGGCATGCAGCAGGAAAGAATGGGAGCAGAAATGGCACGTTGTGCAATACACACCCGATCAAAGGAGCGGGAGAGGGGTGACATGGGGCTGGTGGCTACCAAGCCGCTGCTTCCATGTGGGCTGCCAAGCCGCAGCGGGGTGGTGGTTGCCGGCAGCATCAGCACCGGGCTGCTGGGAATGTTTATATCCGCAGCACCTGGACCATCTGTGGTTGGTTGCACCTGCCGCCCCCGTGGCAGCAGCAGCACCGCCTGCTGGTCCTGCAGCTTGTTGCCCGTCAGTGTCTTGTAGGTGGTGGCCTCCAGCTACAGCACAGTTATCGGAATCAGCGAGCAGGGTGGAGTGGACGAAGGGCAACACTTCAAGAACAGCCAGGCAAACGAAAAGAAATGGTTGGCACATGCACCATAGACTTTAGTTGACCGCAGGTTTCAACATGGCTGGCAGTTGGGCTGGGTTCATTGCATTGCTGGGCGTACAAGGCACATCCAGCAGGCGCCCCGCCCTGGTGAAATTGTTGACACACACGCACGCACATTGGCACCCTGTTGGCAGCGCCTGTAATCGTACACATCATAATCGTCAGCCTCCAGCCCCATCGCCGAGCAGGCCATGGTCTTGAGCTCCGACAGCTTGCACTGAACGCAACAGCAGTTTTTGACACGAGGGTGTACAAAATGCGTCATGGTAGGGGCAAGCAATGGACGTGCTGCCGACTGACATGAGCTGCCTGGGCCCCGCCACCCACCACCGTCCACCTACCCGCACTTACCATTGCGCTGCACCCCACCACCGCCTCCTGCTCTTCCGCGCCCGCAGGACGCGCTATCACACGATAGTGCTGCTGCTGCGCCTCCAGCTGTATTCGGTGCCCTGCCATGTGATACTCGCGACGCACCTCAGGCCCCTTGCAGCCATACCTGCAGAGGCATCCAGCAAAGGCAGCTAATGTACAAAAATAGAGGAAGTAGCGTCCAGCACCAACATCAGCTTACCATTCTTTGAGCAGGTTCCAGGTGGGCTCGTGTACCATCCAAAAGTGATGCTTATCGACCAGCTGGTCTCGCACGACCACCACGCCTGCCTGCTGCTCAGACGTTAAGTCGGAAGTGGACTGCAGGTTGCAGGGCCCGACAGAACGGCTGGGACAAAGACACCCACAAATAACTCCACTGACAACCAGGCAGCAGGCAGGCAATGAAGCCCCAAAGCAGATGAGCAAGCTATGTCACCGCGTCCTTGGTTCTCACAGGCGGCTCCGCCACCAGGTCACTGTTATCGATGGGGCCCGGGCGCGGCGCGGGCTCCTGCTGCGGCACCACTTTGGGCTTCTTGCGGACCGGATCATATACAAATCCGCTGTACTGACACCAGCCGCTGAACCACCTGCAACAGCGGCACAAGAAGGACCTGTGGGTGTCGCGTCTCAGGCTCCCAGCCGCGGATGCCGATGAACCAGCAAAGATGTCAGCATTAATGGGACCGACAAGTGGGCTGCGCCGTGCTGAACTGCTACATGCATGTTGCACCACTCACTTGTTGCTCACAACAAAGAGCGCGTCGCCGGCGGCGGGGTCTGCCGCCGCCGCCGCCTGTTCGGTTTCCAGGACAGCCTGTGCTTCTTGTTGGCCGCTGAGCTGGGGGAATATCAGAGCCATCCTCAGCCCTTCAAGCCCCTCCCCCCAGGCTCTCTGGATGGGCTGGCCAATGGACTGCTGCCGATCACTGGCAGGGTGCCCCTCGGTCGCTGCCAGCTTCAACGATCACAGACCAGCCGTCAAACCTCGCGCAGGCACCAAGAGGGATGCACTGCGATAAGCCAACGAAGAGCTTGAATGCAGCCCAGGGCGATCACAGCGATGCAACAGTGCTCGGAGATTGCGAGTCTAAGGCGAGAATGCCTTCCTGCTTGCCAGGCCAAGTGCGCCAAGCTGGCACGCCCCTCTGAATTTCTTCTCCGCCCGTTTCGTCCCGTCGCACTTCCAAACAGCGAGGCACCATGGCTAGCGCACAGGGACGCAAAATGTTGAGCGCCGAGGAGAGGCGCAGGCAGAGGGAGCTGGAGGAGGCCCGTAAGGCGGGCTTGGCGCCAGCAGAGGTGAGCAGGCGGTGCTGCAGGGATGTGGGCCAGGCGTGGGGCTGCGCGCGGCTCCGTGGGCTCATGTGCGCTGCAGTCCGGCAGCCTGGCGGCCATCCAGAGGCCCCATCTGCCCGTGCCAGCCGCCAGGGAGCAGCCCAGCCGTTGGGAGTGCAGCGCCGGGCTGCATGAGGCGGACTTGGGCCCCGCGGCCGCCGCTGCCGCCAGCGTACCCCAAACCCCACGTGCAGAAGTATCACTCCATTTTTCATTGCCTGCATCGCAGTTGGATGAGGAGGGCAAGGAGATCAACCCCCACATTCCGGCCGTGAGTCCTGCCATGATTGTGACTGAAGTCCATACCTGCCGCGGGAACGGGGCGGGTGGTTGAGGCGTCCTGGTGCTGCTGCTAGTCAGTCCTGCGCAATCTGGCTGGCCGCCCAATACCTGCCTGCTGCACCACCCCGCCGCAGTTCATGGCCGACGCACCCTGGTACCTCAATGCCGGGGCCCCCTCGCTGAAGCATCAGCGCAATTGGAAGGACCAGGTGACAGATGAGATGCGCTGGTATGACCGCGGCGCCAAGGTGTTCCAAGCAAACAAGTACCGCAAGGGCGCTTGCCAGAAGTGAGCTTGAGCAGCAGCGGCGACTGCAGAACCGGAGCTCGGCGGGCTGCGATGGAGCCACGGCTGTGCAGTTGCCGTTGGCGCACCATCACCACCTTTCTGACTGCCACGCCCTGCCTTTTGCCCTGCAGCTGTGGTTCCATGTCCCACAGCACCAAGGACTGTATGGAGCGGCCACGCACCAAGGGCGCGCGGTGGACCAACAAGAACATTGCTGCCGACGAGAAGGTGGAGGACGACTTTGAGCTGCGCACGTTTGATGCTAAGCGTGACCGCTGGAATGGATACAACGGTGATGAGTGGGTCAAACAGGCGGAGCGGTGAGTGGGTCGGGAAAGAGCAGACAGCGAGTGGGTGGACCTGGGCTGTGGTGGTCCTGAGTTGCCACCACGCCACATTTCACCCATGTGCGCACTGCTGACACCGGGCTGCTAGCTTGCAACCACTGTTTGATGATCGCATCAATGAACACACTGTCGTGGCTGGCTGGGGGGCTGCAGGTTTGAGAAGGTGGAGGCAATGCGGGCGGAGATTCGGCGCAAGGAGCTGCTGGAGAAGAAGCTTGCTGGGGAGGTGGAGGAGGAGGAGCTGGAGGGGCAGCTGGGGCAGGAGGAGGCCAAAATTGACGAGACGGAGGAAGCCGGTGCGCGCCTGGTGCATTGCTGGGGTGATGCTTGTGGGAGGGAGGCGTGGGGCCTCGGCAGGTTCCGCTTGCGATGGTGGGATGGTCGCCGCTGATCGTGTGCTGCTTGTCAATCTTGTGCTTCCTGCTTCCTACCTACTCATGCTTGCGTGCACATCATGGTATGCCCTGCTGTTGCAGGCTTTGCCAAGGTTGAAAAGCGCGTCCGTACGGCGGGTGGCGGGTCCACGGGGTCGGTGCGCAACCTGCGCATTCGTGAGGATACAGCCAAGTACCTGCTCAACCTGGACCCCAACTCAGGTAAGGCGGCGGGGCATGGCTTGGAGGGGGACGTGCGTGGAACAAGGGACCGGTGCAGTGTGGGCATGGCTCTGCATCCAGCTGTCACCAGCTGGGCAAGGCCAGCAGGGCAACGTGGCCGGCAGCCAGTTCGATTGCGCAACCTTCCAAACCAGCCTTGTGTGCCTCCACCGCAGCCTACTACGACCCCAAATCGCGCTCAATGCGCGAGGACCCCAACCCCGAGAAGGACCCCAGCCAGAAGACGTTTTATGGCGACAACTTTGTGCGCCAGAGTGGTGAGGTTGGGGGGTTCAAGGACCTCAATGTCTTCGCCATCACCACCCACGAGCGCGGCCAGGACGTGCACATGCAGGTGGGATTCGCAGTGTGCTGGCTGACAGCTGGTGTGTGTCAGGCATTCCCCTGCATCAACAGCCCATCGGCAGGATTGGAGAGCTGCTGTTGGCATGCATGCTTGTGGACCAGACATTTTGCCTTCCACTTGCCCTCCTGCATGCTGACTGGCCTGCTGTACTGTTGTTGTCGTCACACCACCTGCAGGCCATGCCCTCTCAGGCAGAGCTGGCCTTCCAGCAGTTCAAGCAGCGCAAGAAGGCACTGGAGGGCGCCACCAAGGAGGACATCCTGGCCAAGTATGGTGATGCGGCGGCTGCCCCCACTGATGACATAAAGGCGCTGCAGGCAAGTGTTGGATTGCGCATGACTGGCTGGCTGGCCCTGATGTGATTGGATGTTGTGTTGATGCATGCCGCGAATGCCGCCAAAGACTAGCTGAGGCGCTTGTTCTGCCCTGGGCTGCAGGCCAGCGAGGCGTATGTTGAGTATGATGCAGCAGGGCGGGTGCTGCGGGGCCAAGAGGTGAAGGCCAAGTCGCGGTATGAGGAGGATGTGCTGATCAACAACCACACTGCGGTGTGGGGCTCTTGGTGGCACGATGGGCAGTGGTGAGTGAAGGGAGGGCGGGCCAGGGTTTCGCAGGGAAACAAGGTGGTTCACCGCTGTGGACACTAAGTGTGTTCTTTATGTGTGTTGTTGCAGGGGCTATGCATGCTGTCACAGCACCATCAAGCAGAGCTACTGCGTGGGCGCGGCAGGCACGGTGGCGGCGGCGGATGCAGCAGAGCAGCTGGCAGCGAACATGGAAAAGAAGGCGGCAGAGGATGAGGCGCGGCGGAAGGAGAGCAAGCTGGTGGGGCACAAGCCAGCTGCAGATGTGTGGGGTGAAGCGGGCGATGACCTTCAGCTGGACCAGGACAAGCTGCGGGAGGCACTTAAGCGGCAAGAGAAGGTGTGCGGAACTGGGGCTGACGTGGGGTGGGTTGAGGAATGGAATGCTGGAGGGGCTTTGCGGTGCCTGCACCGAGTGTTTCATGGCCGCGCTGATATAAGCATTCCGTAAGGTGCTGCCGCAGCACGAGAAGGAGGACGATGAGGAGTTGGATGACCGCAAGCGCAAATACAACAGCTTGGCGGGCCAGGCCTTGGACGTGACGCAAGAGGAGATGGAAGCGTAAGTACACGCCCCAGGCTTTCCCAGTTCTTGTCAGCTTGCCCTTTTAGGTGTTAACTCCCCCTGTTGCATAACTGATCTTGTTTTGAGCTCGCCACGTCTGCAGGTACCGAATCAAGAAGAGCCGCGGTGATGACCCGCTGGCCTTCATCGACAAGGAGAAGGCCAAGCAGCAGGGTGGCGCGGGGGAATACGAGTACGTGTGACTACGTGTGATGTCAACAGGCCGTGCAGCCACCTGTGACGAGTTTTTACGCTTTGCCCAATGTATGATATGCCACTGCTCAAACAAATGCCCCGTTGCGATTTCATTTCTTATGTGCCGCTTTGCTCTCCTGCCCGCTTTCCCTCCTGCTTCTGTATTGACGCTTTCCTGCAACTGTCACTTCCACTTCTGCATGCTGGTTCACAATCAAGGTCAGCAATGGTAAAAAAAGAGCAACCAGAAGGAAAGAGATAGAACTCGTTTTGCCAACTCTACGTCCTAAAAGTACGAGCAGCAGAACTCCTCGCGACTGGTCAAAACAATAGAGCTGCCGTCTGGGTGCCAGCACAGCCCGGTGGCCCGGAAGCCGGGCAGCGGGATGTGGACGCAGGATGCGCCGTCGGGGGTCCACAGGTACAGCTTGCTGTCGCCAGTGCAGATGACAAGGCGATTGGAGGTGGGGCACCACTGCACAGCACGCACCACTCGCGTGTGCAGCAGCAGCGACGCCAGCTCCAGCCTGCTCGTCTCCCAAATCCAAACTACGCTGGGCATGCTGTCGCACCGCGTGGCAATGTAGCTGCCGTCAAAGCTCCAACTCACGCTCCCTGCGTCAACATTGGCAGCAACAGGTCTGGAAAGCAAATGGCACAGAGTTCATGCCACACCAAGACATGCACCGCGGAGTGCAACGATGTGCCCAGCATGCGAGCACCGCAGGAAGCTCAGCAGACCAGCCCAGGGTCCCTGGCCTCCCTGGACCATAACAGGCGGCCACTCACCAATGCCCAGCTTGGGGTTGGGCTTGTCCACCGCCGGCCGCACCACCGGCATCCGCACCGGCAGCTCTGCAACCACATACCGCGACTTGGTCAGGGCCATCTCGCCAACCTCGTCGTCCATATCCTGCCGCAAACGGCAGCAGCGAATGATCAATGCGGCAGAGCTGTACTGCATCTGCTGCTGGCTGTCGCGCTGGTGGCAGGTGTTGTTTGGACGAGGACAACCTGTCACTGACAGGTTAATGGCACCAAAACATCAGCTGCCTCCGATCCAGCAAACAACCTGCTGCCCTCACCTGCGAGGCGTCTGGTCCCAGCTTGACCGGCGAGCTAGTGCGTGAGCCTGGGCGCGAGCCAGGGCGTGAGCCGGGGCGCGACCGAATGGTGCCGACTCGGCTCATGCTGCCTGTGCCTGCCGCTAGGATTCGGCGCCCCGTATCTTCCTCTACCTCGCTGTAGGCTACAACACTGGGCGGCCCGCTGACTGTAGGCTGGTGTGAAAACTGGGCCAGTGGACTCCAGGTCACATGGTTGAGCACAGTTGCGCCCTGCAGCACACATTGGTGCACCCTCACAGCACGGCACGTGGGTACATGGGAAGGTACCGCTAGCCTGCAGGCAATCGACCGATGCGCAGAGCTGCATGCAGCTGCATGCCGAATTGCACTCCAGCGGCCTGCCACCCCACCTGCTCGTAATCGCCCAGTGCCAGAAGCTGCCCTGAGGGGCTCCAGGACACAGCCTTGATGCCCAGCAGATCCTTGTACGCCGAGTAGGCAGTCAGGCATTCGCCCTCGGGCGTGAACACGGCCAGCTGGTGGCCGTACAGCGCCGACTCCCAGCACGCGATACAGCCACCGTCGGGCGACCAGGCCAGGTCGGCGAGGTCGGTGGTGCCAGCTGCAAACTGGACTCGTGGCTGCCAGGTGGTGCAGTCGTACATGGCCAGCGAGTCCTTGCAGTCGGACCGCTGCACGAGGGAGGTGGGGGGGGGCACAGCAGGGCACAGGGTCAGCTGGCGCGCAAGAGGCAGAGGTGGGTTGGCAAGGGCCCTGACGGGAGGTTGCAGCGCAAAGCACAGGTTGCACAAAAAGGCAGACTGCAGCACCCAACAGCACGCTCCCGTGCCATCAAACATTGCAGAGTGCAGCAGCGCCACCGGTAGCAAGCCGTGTAGTGGGGCTGCCCTCGGGCCGCTCACGTGTGCCACTGCCAGCAGGGTGCCATCTGGACTGAATGCCAGGCCAGCATGCGCATGCTTGGGGCCGCGCAGGTTGACGCATGATTGGTCCACCAGGCTCCACACCGAGAGGCGCACGCCAAAGTCGGCTGTGAGCAGAATGTGCTGGCCGTCGGGCGTCCACCGTGCAGCCACAATTCCGGCGGGGCCCTCGGCGATGCTGCAGGCCCAGTCCGGGTCCGACACACAGAACACCTGCACCGTGGCGCGCTTGAACAGCCCGCATAGGATGTGGTCGCCGTCGGGGCTCCAGCTGATGCTCTCGATGCGGTCCAGGCAGCTGCACAGGCCGACCACCGCCAACGAGTCGGCAGCGCGCACCACCAGGCGGTAGCCCTCGGCCGACGCCAGCAGCTTGCGGTCGGGGCTGAATGTGGGCTGTGGGCCCGAGTAGGGCAGGCGGTCTGTGAAGTCCATGCCTGCAGTTGCGGCCAGCAGCGATAGGTGGGTGGCTGCTTGGAGCCCGGCCCCCTTCCCTCTAGGAGCCAAGAGTGCGGCGGGGTGGGGCACCTTGCCGCCGCGGCAGTTTGCTCCCAGGCGGCGGCTCGGGCAGGATGCTGGCTGCTCAGCGCCGTCATCGCACCTGCTCAGTCCCGCGGGGCGGCTTCCCCTTCCCAAACAGCAGGTCAACAGACTCGACGCGAGCTGCGGGCACCTGACAGGTGAAATGTTGAGCGTGCGGAGGCCTCCAACGAACAACGAGTTTTCGCAGCAACACGCGCAGTTTGAAAACACTGCCGCACGCGCTGAGTCCGACCTTGGATTTTCAGTGGCGCAGAGGGCGGCCGCAGCCTGAAGAAGCAGCAGAAGCAGCAGAAGCAGCAGCAGCAGAAGAAGAAGAGAAGACGGTAGGGTCCTGTTTCGACTGGCAGGCAGGACATGGCATTGTGTACTGCGCCGCGCAGCTTGCGCCTTTTGTGACCCGGGCGCCTTAACGATAGCCATTTGTGATCCAGCGATCCGAGAGACCCCAGATAAAACAAGCTGAATGGGCCACGAGATGGACTGCCCAATCTGCAACAGTAGCCCCAGGCAGACCTTGGAGGCGCTGGAGGCGCACGCCAACGACCATTTCCCTGATTCCTCCGCTGGGGCTACTTCGGCTTGCCAACACTGTGGGCAGGCGGTGCCAGAGTGCGACCTCGATAGCCATGCCCTGGCGCACCAACTGGAGCAGGAGCTTGCTGGCGATACGGCAGTCGAGGATGCGGCAGCGGAGCTTGCTTGGGGTGGCGGCAGCGAGGATAACCACATCCACATTCTTCAGCTGGAGGAACTTTACTTGGACGAGCTTGTGAGGGGCTGCCTGAGAGATGGGGATGGGTTGCTGATCGATGTGCGGTGCCTCTCCTACCCACCGCCTGCCTTGCCCGCCCGGCTTTTCGCAGCGCGCACAATACGGCTTCTCCTCGCAGCCGAGACCGGGTTGCTGCCGCTTGTGCGGCCAGGAGGGGCATTGGGCTGTCGACTGCCCTCAAAACCCCGACAAGCAGGAGGCCGAGCGCCGCGTGCTGGATCCCCCGCTGCCGCAGCGCATCACCGCCACCCAGCAGCGCGCCACGCCCACAGACATGTCGGGGGGAGGCGGCCTGGTGCAGCTGCTGGCAGCGTGCCTGGAGCAGCAGCAGGTGCCTGCTGCTGCCTCCTACCGCGCAGGGCTGTGCGGCACGGTGGACCACTTCGGCTCACACATGCTCTACTCTTCAGGCTGGGGGTGAGGTGCTTGCTGGCAGGGCAGCTGAGGCGGCGCACTAGTGATATCTGCCAAGTGAACACGGTGCAGGTGTGGCTACAACAACATGCAGATGCTCGCCAGCCACCTGATAGCAGTGCGTCCGGTGAGTGCGACGGCGAGTCAGCACCAGAAGTATGGAGCTGTTCTACAAGTGCAGGCATGTGACAACAGAGGAGGCGGTCCAGCTGCCCTGCGCATGGCCATCACTGCAGGAGGCCAGGCAGGCGATGTTTGGAGGAGCTGCCTTTGTACCAGACATCCCTGCGCTGCAAGCTTGGCTAGGTATGGTAGCACTGGAGCAGCGCACGAGTTTCTGCGTGGGGTGGGAGATGGCAATTGTAATCACCAGCCCCTGGTGTGCTACAGAGGCTGCGTGGCAGGAGGGGTACGATGCAATGGGCGCCGAACAGCTGGCCTGGCACGTGCAAGGAACAAAGGTGACAGAGGCGGTCCATGTACTTGGGGATGGGTCTCGGACTTCTGCTCAAGTATGCTGCCCATGGTGGGCTGCCATGCCAAGCCCCAAGTCCCGCTCTTGACCGACCGGCTGCCCATGTCCCGGTGCTTTTCTGCCGCAGAAGTGGGTTGGCACCACTGAGTGCGCCTCGCTGCTGCGCAGCTTTGGCCTGCGGGCGCAAATTGTGGACTTTGGGGCCCGGACTGGCGAGCTGGTGGCGGCAGGCAGCTCGTCGGCAGCGATGATGACTCGCGGGGCGGTGCCAGCGCACCCCAATGTAGAGTGCGACGGCTGTGGGCAGCGCCCCATCCTGGGTGACAGATACAAGAGCGAAACGCTGCCAGACTACGATCTGTGCGCCGCCTGTTACGCCAAGAGCAGCTCAGTGGCAGCAGGGCCCTATCGCCGCATGATGCCCAGTGCGGTGCGGATGCCCAGCCAGCAGCAGGAGGAGGGGAGCGCTAGCGGGGGCAGCATGCAGGACCAGCTTCTCCAGTGGGTGTGGCGCTACTTCATGGCTGGCGACGACGGGGCACAACCTAGCAGCAGCGACACAGCAGCCCATAGCTTGCAGCCGGCACTCGCAGAACGAGGGCCGGCTACTGCCTCGGTCAATGCCAAGCGCCAGCGAGTGTCACCTCCACCGCGAGTGCGCCTGTCGGGGAAGCCGCCTCTCTACTTTCAGCACGACGGCCACAGCCGTACAATTGTGGGCTGCGAGCGACGCCTGGTGGGGCAGCAGCGCCGAGCAGTGTACACCCTGCTCATCCTGGACCCAGGCACGCCTGGCGGCAAGCTGGCGGCGGCGCTGGCGCAGCGCTGCGGATGGCAGCGTATGCTCAAGCGAGGGGCCCACACGCTGCGGCACCAGCAGTACCAGCTGCTGTTTGTGCAGCCAGGCCTGGCCGCTGCGGCGGAGAAGGAGGCGCTGAAGCTGGTGGCGGCCGTCGAGCGCTACTGACCCTTTTTGTCCACCCATTTTTGCCAGTCGCGATACGTACATAACATGCGTAGTGGACCGGCTTCTCAATGCTGGAGAGGGTGCAAAGCCAAGGCACAGCAGAAGGGGGAAGCGCCGGGTGCACTAGGGAAAGGGTGAGTGGAGGGCTTGAGCTCGCTATGCGACGTTCACTCAAGGGAGCGCCAGGGGTACACAAGGCGTGCGCTGGGAGCCGTTCAGGGAAAGTACAATGGGGCCATGAATAGCCAAGCAGGCATGGGCATCACCACAGGGGAGAGGCAGCAGCCCCTACTTTGGCAGGTGCCACGTGAGGGATGGGTGGTACAGCGCATCGATATGCGAGGGCGTGTCGCGCAGTCTATGCGTCATTGGCACCGCAGCCCCAGCTGAAGCAAATCAGGTCCAGGAACGACCACCTGCACTCGCAAGACGAGTTGGCGGGGCACTCAGTCCACCCAAAGTAGCCGCAGAACGTGGGGACCTCTGGGTTGGTGGCGTCCTTCTTCAGCGGGTAGCTGGCGGCCTTGTACACGCCGCACGCGCCCGAGGCCTCGCTCGACTTGGCGGCCAGACGGAAGAAGCCCTGCTCGCCCCAGCCCTCGCCCCAGCTGTTCTGCACGACGCAGGCGGCGCGGGCCGGCAGGCACAGGTGGCCGGTAGGTGCACAACATTGAGCAGCTTCACAGGACCAACTCGTCCATTCACAGGGGCTCAATCCCAACTTCCTACTCCCTGCGCCCCCGCTGCACCTTGATGACATAGTGGGGGGTGCCGCCCTTGGAGCCATCGTCGTAGCCAACCGCCAGCACGCCGTGGTTGAGGTCCTGGCAGCACGCGTCGTCGCCCACCACGCCGCTGTGGTAGAGCTGCAGGCAGGAAATGAAGGAGCAGGAGAAAGAAGGGGGAAACAGGTGAGCAGCCTCTTTGAAGCAGAGGACGAATGCTTCTAAACGAGGGTTGTCAATACGGCATACAGCAGGTGCACTTGCAAGCCTCAGTATTGGCTCATGAAGCACATGCAGCACCAGCCACCCGCCTGCAGGCTCATGGAGGCGCAGATGGCCACGGACACGGGCTGGTGCGCAATGGCCTTCTTCAGTGCCTCGCCGTCGTTCTTTGGCACATCCTCAAACCCGTCTATGGTCACAACATGCCTGCAAAGGAATCATGGCAGCAAGGAAACAAGGAGGGCCGGGGGTGCATTCTCAGACCCCCCCACAGCGGGCATGAATCCGTCCGAGGGCCCATCTGGGCCTTGTACACAAGCACACTGCAAACAGCCGCCGCAGGTGCCCCCACCTGTCGGCCTCCTTGCGGCGCTGGCAGATGAGGCCATAGCCCCTGCGAGAAGGACAGCAGGAACGCTATTAGTGAAATAATCGATGTTGTAGAGAGCTTCAACTCCAACTTACCAGTAGCTGTAGTCATCCTCGCTGTCGATGCCGCCATTCTTGGTGATGTAGTCGAACGCAAAATCCATGAGCCCGCCACCACACCCCAGGTCCTTCTCACTGTCGCAGTCCACCAGCTGCTGCTCGCTCAGGCTGACCAGCTTGCCCGTGCGGATGGCGTTGATGCCCTCCACGGCGCCAGTGGCACTGAACGCCCAGCACTGCGCAGCGCAAGGAGCACGGCAGGGCGCACACGGTTCATCCTTGTCGCTGCGCATACCAGGCATGCAGCCGCGGTAAGTAGCTCCATGACTGCTATCCCCATCCAACTGCCGGCGAGCTGCACACTCACCGAGCCGCACATGGCCTGGTTCTTCACCTGCAACAATACACCCACAGACAGCAATCAGAAGGTTGGTGCGCCACAACCGACGCGACCCGCCCAGCGTTCCCAGCAAACCCCAGGAAGCAGCATCCGCTCACCGGAGTCACTGCGTTCTTCTTACGCCAATCCACCGTCGACGGCAGGTCATTAGCGTCAGCATACTGGAACGAGGTGGTAGTGTGCTCCTTGCTGCAGGTGCAGGTAGGGGAATGTCTCCAACCGCCTCCGCCCCGCCGCGCTTGCAACACGTCCGCCTGACTTGCCGCCCAACTCACCCTTCGCGCAGGGAGGGGTTATACCCCAGGTGGGTGGCCGCAAACTCCTCGAGGGTCAGGTCAGCAAACTGGTTGAGGGCGAGGACGAGGCCCGAGTTGCGGGCGTTCTGCTCTGCCACATGCTTTGCATTCTCCACAAACACGGCCTGGCGCTTGCGGGCCTCGCTTGCGCTCTTATAGGACCGGCCATGGGTCATCTGCCACTGCGAGAACGCCTGGCCAGGGTTCTCCTGCACAGGGCGAGGCGGGCAAGCGCGTTTACCCAGGCGGGGCGCCGTGCGCCCGCCTCGCCCACAGCGCCCGCCCACAGCGCCCGCCAGATGCACAGGTTCGGTACTGGGAATCGGCAAGGGCCGAAGCCCCAGCATAGGGGCCAAGAACTCGGACGGGCGCGTCATGGCTCACCAGAGCGAACTGGGCGGTCAGGGGCTCCAGGTTCAGGCTGCTGTCTGAGTTCTCGGACACGCGGGCCCGGGCCAGGCTGACCAGCAGAAGGCCGGCGAGGAGCACAGGGCCTCTCATGCTGGAACAAGTGGTGGTGGTGGTAGTGGCCCCTTCCGGCGTGCAGAGAGTGAAAACGATAAGGCCCCTGTCGACAAAGAGTGAAACTGGACGACAACGAAGGAAGGGAGGAAAACTGCGCCTGCAGGCACCCGACCCCGTTTCGGGAGCGTTGCGGAGGGCAAGCCAGAGCGCCTGCAGAGCCGCGATCCGTTGGTCTGTTAGTTCTGACTAGTCCGTTTCTGCAGCGAGTGAGATGGCGGAAGCTTGCAAGGCCTACGCTGAGGCCTGGGGCCTGAGTGGCTGTAGTCTCGAGGTGTCCGAGTTGCAAGGCTACGATGACCGCAATTGGCGGCTGACCGGTGAGCCGGACGAAGCGCCGGCCACCACCGCCCGCCACCGCCGCCGCACTACCCTACTCACACTTAGTTCGGAGCTTGTTGCACTCCGAACAGTTAAAATGGGCCATTTTAACTGTTCGGAGCGTGGCCGCCGGGAGTTTTGACCCAGTTCACCACGATAGTATTGTGGTGAAACTGCAGACGCTGAGGGCAAGTCCTGGGTTCTGAAGGTGCACAACGACATCGACAGCCGAAGTTCGGCGCAAATCCCCGAGTCTCAAAACGCGCTCCTGGGCTTCTTGTCAGCACAGGGTTTCCCCGTTCCTCTGCCTCTGCCTCTGGTGCCCCCCTGCCAGGGCGACGGCTTCACGCTCCGTGTTGCCGGCGAGGATGGCCAGGTGCACGCAGTGCGGCTGCTGTCGTGGATGCCAGGAAGCCTGCTTGTCGATGTCGCTCAGTCCAGCGCGCTGTACCGCGAGTGAGTAGCGCGCTATACCGGGAGTGAGGCGGCTGCATGCCCTCCTGAGCTTGCCACGGTCATCAGTTAACAGAACACTCAGTCTGCGTCATTGTGGATCCAGAATCGGCGCCCTACTTGGTAGCGTCAACCGAGCGCTGCAGGGATCACGGTTGCTAGAGCGCTTTCCATCACTGCGACGTGCGGAGTTCGAATGGAACTTGATGAGCCTGGCAGCCACGTATGCTCGCCTGCGGACTGACCTGCTCAATGTAGCAGGCGTGGATGTGTGAGTTGTGGCTGTTTTGTTTTTTGACTTGGCCAGGTCTGTGGCAGTGGCACCGGCTAGTGCAACAGATCCACTCCGTGCAGTTTGCCGGCACACATTGGCAAGCTGCAGGCAATGTGCCCGCCTGCCTGCAGCACACTGCTGGACGAAACAGTCGCGCACTTCCAGCAAGCCACGTGCAAGGCTGATGCGTCGCTGCGCCGCTCGATCATCCACAGGTGCTTGGGGCACAGCAGAGGCCTGTGCAAGTGCAGAGCGCAGACCGCAGGAGAAGTATCGTGACATGCAGGGGCAGGGGGGCACTACCGCACCGCCATCGCTGCAATGTGGAAAGATGCCCGCCCACGATTCGCCCGCCCCTGCTGCACCCCTGCTCCCTGTCCTCATGTCCACCTGTAGCGACGCCAACGAGAAGAACATTTTGGTGGATGCAGCAGCCGCAGAGGCCGCCGCTGCGGCTGAGCAGCAGGAGGCTGCAGTTGCCACAGACATTAGAGGCGAATCACTAATTACGGGCCTGATTGACGTAGGAGATGCCATGGAATGTTGGGTAGTGGCTGAATGCGCCGCTGCGTGCGTTTATATGATGTTGTTGGAGATAAATATATCGAATCCTCTGCCGGCGGCGGCCGCGATAATAGATGGATACCGGCGCGAGATGGATCTTTTGCCCGAGGAGCTGCGCATACTGCGAACTCTCGCTATGGGCCGCCTTGTACTCAGCCTGTCCCTAGGCGCGCATGCGGCGGCGCAGCGGCCTGACAATGCAGAGTACCTGCTCAGCACCCAGAAGAATGGGTGGCGCCTGCTGCGCCTGCTGCGCGGCTTGAGCGACGAGCAGTTCCTGGCGGCAGTGGCCCCTGCCTCCCCCTTCTGACCTCCCACACCTCTTTGCCCTGTGTGCTTTCACATTGAGCAAAAGCAGGAACAAACAGACAGTGTGACGCGCGGGGAGAGACAGGGCCAGGGATGCTGCTACAGGCACAGAATGGTGCACAGCGTGGTGCTCAAGTCCTCGGCCCTCACTCGCAGCTGCTCACGCAGCCGCATGGGCAGCCCATCTCCTGCTTGTGCCTGTTGCACTGCCATGGCCGCCAGCAGCCTCTTGTGGTGAGCCAGCGAGGATGCCAAGTTGAGCAGCACGGGGCTGCCCTGCACCTGTGCCAGCACCGCCTCTGGCAGCTCTGCCGCCTGCTCCTCACTGCCGCTGCTCTCAGCCACAACCTCCTCCAGCGCATCCTGCCAGCTCAGCTCCTGCAGAGCAAGCACATCGGGGTCGGGGTTGAGCACAGAAGACCAGCATGCATCCTCGCCCTTCCCTCACGACCCACCTTCCCCTGTAACAGTGCGGCGGCGGGGGGCGCAACTGGGCCAGGCTGGCCTCGGTCAATGCCCAGCAGCGTGAGTGGGCAGGCATCCATGGCGCGCAGGAAAGGCAGCGGCACCACCGCGCCGCTGCTGTAAAGCGTTTGCAGCTTCTCCACCCAGCGCTGTGCTTCGGTCTGCATATATGGCAAAGGAGTTTGGGAGCCATTGAAGGCTGACTGCGATTGTGAGTCGCACCTCCCTGGCCTGCCGCTGCAGACAGAGAAACACCGGCCAGCCCATTGGCATGGGCACCGCACCTTGGGCATCTTGGGGGGCAGCGGGCGTGCACCAGGGGTGGGCAACCCGTCGACCTCCAGCCCCACAGCGCCCTCCACCATGGCATGCATCGCTGCCATGTAATCCTGGCTGGCCTCTGCTGCCACGTTGGCGTCTTCGCCGCCACTGATGCCACCAGGGCTGGGTGGGGTGCGTGCAAGCGTGTCGTGCATGAAAGTTGCACCTGCCATGCTGCTGCCAAAGCCTGCAGGTGCAGGAGCAGTGCAAGTATGGTGGTGGCAAGACATGCGGGTGGGCCAGCGGGGGGATGCAACATTAGCAGTGTCATGATGTGGCTGGCAAACATCACAGCACCAGTAACGACAATGCAGAAAACAGTGCAACACACCAACTCGCTGAGGCGCCTTGGTGGATGGTGGTGCCGCCGGTGACACCATAGTGCCGCCCCAGCCTCCTAAGCTGCTGTCTATTGACTGGCGCACCACCATTGTGCCGCTGGGCTCGCATCCACGAGCAAAGGCTGCCGGGGAGTGGGCAGCATTGAAGCCGCCATCTTCCGCCGCTACCGTCTGCTGGTATGCCATTGGAGGCTGCAGGTGCTGCTGCTGATTAGCCACTAGCGTTCCGCTGCTGGGCCCATACACGGAGCCGTGGGCTGGCCTGGCAGGGGAGGCCAGACTGCTGCGGGGCTCACGCCAGGAGAAAGCACCGTCTTCAAGGGCTGCATTGCCTGCTGCTGGCACAGCCTGCTGTGCCTCAATGCCTGCCATCAGCGCCATTTCCGCCATGTGCGTCCGTGCCTGCTGCACAAGAGGCAGCAGCGCCCGTACCGCCACCGTTGTGACTGCATCACGTGACGTGAATTTGTGCTGCTGCAAGTACTTGGCGGTGGGGCGGGTTCGTGGGTCCTGTAAGAGGAAAGGCAGGGGTGGGGCTCATAGAAGCGCCCTGCGCATGATAAGGGGCAACAACAGGTCGGGCCCAGATACCGAGGCACTCATGCTCACCCACCCCACCTTTTGCAGGCACTGCGCTACAAAGTCTTGGAAGTTCAGGCTCCAACGCTCCTTATCCGCCAGGCGTGGGGGCGGGTCCTTGACGATCATGAAAATGACGCGGTTGGGGTTGATGCGCCAGCGTGGGGGAAACTGCTCTGCCATCTCGATTGCGCTCACACCCAAGGCCCACATGTCCACCTGCAGCAGGACACAGGAGGAAGTATGTGCTTGTCCATGAGCTTGTGCGTATGTGGTGTGAAAAGGACAAAAGGGTGCGAGGGCACAGCTGCCGCGGCATGCGCTGCATGCCAACAAGGGCTGCATGGCAAGTGGCGAGACCTGCATTTAGCAGCATACTGGAATCTGGAGCCATCTGCCCACACCACCGCGTGCACGGCCCCCCAGCCCAGCCCCACACCTTGCCGTCGTACTGCGACACTTGAATGACCTCGGGTGCCATCCAATGCGGCGTGCCTATAAAGGTGTTGCGCTTGCTCATGGTGTTTGTCAGCTGCGCTGCCACGCCAAAGTCTGCCAGTTTCACCTCCCCCGCTTCACTCAGCAGGATGTTGCCGCACTTGATGTCGCGGTGCACCTGCGGCGAAGCAGGGCTGGAGGATACATTGGTCGCAGCCTAGGCACCCAAGGTAGGCCGCCCGGCACGTGGGCCCACCCGACCACAACAGCCAAGGCCCTCCTCATAGGCTCCCCGAGCAGCAGCCCCATCAGACCTTGCCCATGGAGTGCAGGTAGACCAGACCCGCCAGTGTCTGGGCGCAGATGTAGGCGATCATGTCCTCATCCAGCCCGCCGCCCCGCGTGTGCATTACATCGCTGACACTTCCGCCCGCGCAGTATTCCATGCAGATCCACAGCGCATCACGCGTGCGCCAGCTGCCCTGCAGTCTTGGCAAAAACATCACATCAAATGCAGCACAGATAAGCTATCTGAACCACCAGGCGGTCTAAGTGTGCGGCAGCCGTACATAGTATTTGACGATGTTGGGGTGGCTGCACTCGCGCAGCATGGCAATCTCCTTTTGGATGCTAGCGATCTCATCCTGCTCCGTGACGGGAATGATCTTGACCGCAACAATATCGCCTGAAGAAAGGATGCGAGCCTTGTGCACCGCGCCATAGCTGCCGCGCCCTGCAGCGGCCGAGGGGTGCAAGGGGGCGGGGGGTCCCTCCAGGCTCAAAAGGCACAGGGAGGGTGGCACGTCTGCACCATATGTTCACCAAGAGGGTGGATGAGCTCGAAAATCTTGAAAGGATCGGTGATAGAGTACGCGTCTGCAGGCACGGGCAAAAGCCTCGGAGCAGTCGAGCACGATTGCACGGCGGCGGCGGGCGGGTGCGGGGAGGCGGCGGTCATCGACAACTGCAGAGGCCTGACCGCTGGCTGTTGCGTTCACCCTCACGACTTCCCGCGCTGCCATGAGTGTCTCACCTGCCTCGCTGCCCTGCCGCCTGCGCGCAGGCGAACTCGACTGCTGACTGGGGGCCATCTAATTTGCTTACACCGACTGTCTGAGCATGCGCAATGCTGGTGCGTCAGCCTGATCAATCTTAAATTGCCTTGAAAGCAAACGACCCAGCGTCATGTGTTGCCCCCTGATGTGGCACCCTCCCGATTGGGCAACCCCCGCCCCCGCTCCCTCCTGGCAGCCCGCGCGGCGCTCCCCTCCCATACGTGAACTGACCCCATATAGCCCTGTTTGAGGGTTGAGCGGGGCGGAGCGGGGCTGCTTGCACACGTGATGGCATGCACGCTTCAACGCTCCCGCTGTCATCTCACCTCTCTAGCGTCAGAAATACAACTCTTACAAGCCAACCAACACGAACAGAGAGACCGAACAACAGAAATGAACAGGAAATATGAAGCCGCCACAGGCGGCAGCACCTTCCAGCGGAGACGGCAAAGCGTACAAGGCACACTTTTTCAATGGTTCTTGCAATTGCCACCCTTACCGGTTATACAGCCACAGTGCCGCCCACACCGCGCACCATTCTTCTTGCAGCTGCAGTTCCGGGTGCAGGCGCCGCGGCAGCCGCAGCGCACGGCTGCCTTGCCGCCGCCGGGCTGCGCCGCCATCGCCACATTGAGAGACACCACAGGCACTCCTCGCTGCGCCGTGCCGCTGAAGGTCAGCTCGCTGGCCAGGCTGGGTGGCGCCTTAGATAGCCTGCTGGCCTGATGCATACCCTCCACCACTCCAGCTCCGCTCCGCAGCCGGTACATGGTCACGCCAAAGGGCCGCTTGATCTCCACCACGCGGCACACGATGCGGTTGCGGGCCCAGCTGCTTGCCCACTTTGCCGCGCTTCGGCGGCAGCAGCAGCACGTCATC